CACTGACTTGTGGTGAGGTGAGTGAGAGAAACTGACACTCTACCACAGTTTGACTCCAGCAGAGGACTTTCTGGGCCCGTGCAGTCCTGTGGGAACAGGGCGCGGTGGCGACGCCAGCCACACATCCCCTTCTCGGGCGGGATTGGTGAAAAGTGCCTGGCCTGCATGACGCTGCCGGCGGACCTGGTAGGATGTCCCAACCCAGATCCCAGAGCCTGACGGTGGCCGGGAGGGGAGACGCGTAGGCTGCCTGGTCCGTAACTCCCTGGTGCGCAGCGGTGAGCGGGAACACCTAACTGGCGCAATTCGATCAGGCTGTGGCTGACTGGGAGAGAAGCTGGGCCTCTTATATAAGCTTGCATATATAAGGAACAGAGAAGAAGAGGCAGCATGGGAAGAGGCAGCAACAAGAAAGGCTCCTCGGCCCCCAATTCTGAGAAACAGGCAATAGCAGACACCGCACCAATACACATAAGGCGCCATATAGAGAGCCTCATAGACCAATTCAGGAATGAAATTATCAACGACCTGAAGCTAGAAGTATGCAGAATAGTTAGAGAAATGCTAAGTACCACCCAAGAAAAAACAGGTGGTGGAATGGAAGAACAGAAAAAAAGGGGAGAATTGTTTGATGGAGAAAACAGAAAAAGCATAGAATACGTGAATCAGGTTCAAAGGGACTACCAAGATACTAAGAAGTCTATCGAAGACTGGCATAACAAGCTTGAAAGAAACTAAGGACAGACTATTTGAACTGGAGGGCAGACTTGTAATATGGGAGAATGAAATGAAAAACTTCTTAAAAATAACAAAGAAACAAACAGCAATAATACAAAGACAAGAAGATGATAAGAGGATCCATAACTTAAGGATTAAGAACATAAAAGAAGAAGTAGGGACACAAACAAGTGAACTACAAAAGCTACTCACAGAAATAATCCAGGAGAATTTTCCTAATTTAGCAAAAGGTAAAGATACTCAGATGTATGAGGCATACAGGACCCCAGCTACCTACAACCCAAACAGAGCAACACCCAGGCATATAATAATAAAAATTCCAGAAATTCAATACAAGAACAGAATATTAAAAGCTGTCAGAGACAAGAAACAGACCACTTACAAGGGAACACCCATCAGAATTACAGCAGATTTCTCTGCACAAACCATCAAATCACGAAGAGCGTGGGGGGAAATAATTCAAGCTTTGAAAGATAATAATCTCCAGCCAAGATTGAGATATCCTGCACAACTGTCCCTGGAAATTGATGGAAAAACGAGGTGCTTCCAGGATAAAGAGGAACTGGGGGAATTTGCAACCACCAATTCAACTCTACAGAGAGTATTGCAGGATATTCTAAAAAAAGAAAAATACAAAGAATCCAGAAATAATGGCAGAGAGGCCACAACGAATGGAGCAGAGAACAAAATGAAGAAGACAAACTGACAGCTACTGACAGAAAAAGAGCTCAACAGAAATGAGGCAGAGAAGATTGGATGATAGGAACAGCTATTTTGGAGAAAATGACATCTTAATAGGTAATACTGATTTAGTATCATCTTGTTTTGAAGTCTCATCTAGCTTTTGTCCTTCTGTCTCCAATGGTCTAAATAGGCTGTATCTTACTGGATTTTATTATGTACGATAGTATAAGCAAAAACCTTTTAAAGACAAGGAGATTATACAGAAACCATTGTTCGTTTTCTGTTGGTTGATTCTAAATACCCTGTAATGCTGTCATTCTCTTAAATGGTTTTAAATTGTTTTGATATATTTGATGCTACAGTATACGAAGTTGTACTCAAGGATTTCAAAGAAAGAGACAATATGGTAACTACTTTTAGGTTAGGATTATCTGGTGGTGAAACACTATTCTGCTTAAATGGTTATGTTTTGATCTGCGCTGTTTCGTTGTTATGCCCTCTTTTATCTCAATCTCCACTCCATTATTTACTTTTTTATCTTTATCCTTTTAATTAAAGGAAAAAAATAGCAGGATATATTATAGTAACCCACTTTGACTTTTCATTACCTTGATTTAAAGCCCTGTATTACTCTCACCATCTGGTTTTTAACTGATGTTCCCCTATTCTGTTTTGCTGGATAGTATCAGGTTCGAAAGTTTAGGCATCAGCTGTGAAGATAATGAGATTCATTATGACGCCCATTCTTGTTGACTTTTATCTACTTTTGAAGACTTACAATGTCTCCAATGTTTTGGTTTTGTCGGTTTTATTCTTTACTGTTTTGTTCAATTATATTATAACTAACGATATAGGCAATTCTATTAGAGATAGTGGGAGGCATTATGGTAACCATTGTTGATCACCTTGTATTATGTTTTTACATTATCTATTATGTCCACCCTTTTGACTTGGCCAATTCTGTTCTGTTATGTCACATTTGGTTTTACTCTCTTCCAAAAAAGTAATAAGAACCGTGGGAGCAATGAAACCCAAAATGTGTAATAGTCATAGTACAAAAGAGAGGAAAAGAAAGTGCTCCAAACTATATAACTGCATGTATATTTAAGTGTATAAGATAGAAAATGATATCACAGAGTTTTATTGGATCAATGAACAGAACTGTTTGCAGTATCATTGATGGAATGTCCACTTTACAAGCTTTAATTTTGTGACTTGACCAATTATTTCTAAGATGACAATATGTAATCCATTAACTAGTGATTTCCTACTGTTCTTTTTTTTTCTGTAAATCTGTATAACTTGTACCCTTTCCCTGCTTTTTTTTCTTTTCTCCTTAAATAAAATTTAAAAAAATATTGCTTAACTGAAAGTTACATTTCTGCAGATTTAAATAAAAAAGAAATATTCACCAACAAGCAGTAAGATAATGCTAAAGGCTGTTTGTCAAAGTTTTGTTCAAAGGGTAAGGGGTGTGGCTCAGTTGTAGAGCTCATGCAAAAGGCTCTAGGTTCAACCTACAGTGTTAAAAAAAATCCAAAATTTATTAAAAGCATTAAGTGTTCAACAATAAAAAATGCTTAATGAAGGATAAAAGTATTTATGATCGAGTATAAAGATGCAAAACATTACAAAACAATGTAGAGTATGATATTTTTAAAAGAAAGGTACATCTAGAAAGAGCTGGAAGAATACACTGCAACAATTTCTTGATAGTTATTTCTTGGTAGATTTGATAATTAATTGTAAGAGCTTCATTTTCCCTTCTCTCATACCCTGTTACCCTCTCTTTTTTTGGATTCTCTGTGTTTGCTGTAATGGTTGCCTAACAGAAATCTAACTTGAGACATGTATGTAATATTAAATGTTCCAGTATCTACACTTTAAAAGCTTAAAAGATCCAGACATGGTGAGACATGAAGATAATTCTAGTACTCAGAAGGCTGAAGCAGGAGTATTTCAAGTTTGAGGCCAGACTGGACAATTTAGTGAGATCCTGTCTCAAAAAAAAAAGTTAAAAAGAACCCAGATGTCAGGACATGGTAGCACATGCTTGCAATCCCACCTTTCTCAGAGGCTGAGGTAAGAGCATCTCAAGTTTGAGTCCAGACTGGGCAATTTGGCAGTTTAGCAAAACCCTGCCTCAAAAAATTAAAAAGAGATATAGCTCAGTGCAAAGGCCATGGGTTCAACTTCCAGTATGAAAGAAAGAAAGAAACAAAGAAAGAAAGAAAGGAAGGAAGGGAGGAGGGAAGAAAGAAAGAAGAGGTAAAAAAGAGAAAGAGTTAAGGAGGGAGAAAAAATACGGTAATGTGTTTTATTTAACAGCATATTCATGGCTGACTGTAGTGTGCATGTATGTAACTGATGCACTTGGGAAACTGAGGTAGGAGTATTGCAAGTTTGAGGCCAACTCGGGCTATGTAGGAAGACCCTTCTGAAAAACAACAAAACTCTGCAATATATTCATTAAAACATGAAATATAAAATATTTATATGATATTTTATACTTGTTAAACATTACGCCTAACATCAAATTTGATAATTTTATTTTTGACTTACTATGTAGTTCAGACTGGCCTTAAATTTGCAGCAGTCTCCTGCCTCAGTCACCTGAATGCTGGGATTACAGGTGTGCATGAGTATGCCTGGTGTGGTGTTTAATTTTTCTTAATACTTTATAGACACCCTCTTGTGTTCTAGTGTAGTATTTTTTTGTATTTACAAAATGTCTCAATTTGGGCCATCCATTTTTGGTGCATCTATTAAGTAGATGTGACTGTTGGCTTTCCCATTGGACAGTATACCTATATAAAATAATAGCAGCTAACATTTACCAAGTCCTTACTATGTGCCAGAGACTTCTCTAGTCCATCAGATGGAGATGATAACTTATTCAGTCTTGCAATAACTCCATCAGGTGGTTATGTATTCAGCATTTCCATATGCACATGGAGCTGTTGCAATAACACCACCATGAAAATTTGGGGGAATTTGTAACCATTTTCCTAATGTGACAGGGAAGAAGTCTTGTCACAAAGGCTTGAATGAATGAGGAAGTAAAAGAGTTGGAGAGACCAGAAGTTTGATAGTGAAGGAGACAAATCAACAGACAGAGGGAAACATGAAGGCAGAAATGGTTTTTCTTAGGGCCAGGGACTAAAGATGAAGGTAAGGTGGACAGGAAGCAGGAGACGAAAGCTAAAGAATTATGGCTGAGGATGTATTGGACCAAACCCTCTGCAAGAGCAAAACTCTATTGAAGAAATTGCCAGACCTGAGTGGGAGACAGGGTACATACCGCAGCTTTCCAGCAGGAGGGAGGATGTGAGACCGATCCTGTGGTTTCTGCATGGACCAAGGCTATGGCAACGCCTCTTACCTAGTGTTTCTTTGGCATTAGGCACCGATTATGTGTTTTGCACGCTATCTAATTTCGTCCTGTCAGATTTCTCACACGGTCTTTGCCACTTCTAAGATGTGAAAGCCAAGGCAAGATCACTGCTCCCAGGTCTCATTGTTAATAGTAGAAGAATTAGGATTTGAACGCAGGTTATTCCAGAAATCAGAGTAAGAAGGAGAGATGTGTTTTTTTAATTAGATTTTACTGGTATGTTTACATATACATAACAATCGCATTCACCGCAGAGAATTTGTACCTGTACATGACATAATGTTTTTTTCTTCCTCATCCTCTTACCCTTTCAACCCTTCCTCCTCTCTCAATTTACAAAGCTTCTTTTCCATCTTTTCTCACTTTTTTTTTTTTTACTTTTCCCTTTTTTCCTTCTCCCCTTTCCTCTCTCTTGTTCCCCTCCCCATTTGAATATTTAGGAAGGAGAAATGTTGATGTGGGGCCAGGACCAGGGCAGGGGGTCCAGGTTGCATCACGTGGGTGGATATCAGGCTCCTCTGCAGGAAGCTAGGCTCTGGGTTGGGGGAGGTCAGAACTGGGTGTCGGTGGCTGGACACATACGGAATGAAATGAAATGTAAGCAACCCACAGACTTTGGTCTTCCATGATCAGTCTTTAGCCTCTGGTATAGCTCTGCAGTTTGGCTGGGAGGACTGAAGATGGGGGAGGACAGCAGGTTTGGAAGAGATCGCACTGCAGTCTGCAGGTGAAAAGAGGGGTGCTTGGTGAGAGAGGAGGTATGGTGTCTGATTCCAGCTCTGGGAGCAGGCAGTAGGGGAGAGGTGTAAGAGTTTGGGAGACACAGAGCAGGAGAGAGGGCACCGGAGACTGGAGTGGGAAGGCAGCCTTCGTGCTGAATCTGGAACACAGTGGCAGGCCTAGAGACTCCTTGATGGTGACAGATTTTTCTCTTAAAAATTAACTGGCTGCAAGGGAAACACAAGAGAGAAGAGGCCCTAAGGTGAGTGGAAATACAGGAAGCCAAGCAGGGCGGATCTATCTACAGAATGAAGGAAGAAAGGAATTACAGGAGAGGAAAGTGAGAAAAAGGGACATCGGGAGAAAGATGAGGAAAGGTGAAAGCAGAAACTCACTCCCAACCCCTCAGCCCCACAGCTCTGGGCACCAGTCTGGGGGAGCTGCTGCAGCAGTCTGGATAAATGAGGAACAAGGGTGGATCCTGGCTCAGGCCACGACTACTGGGCTCAACCCAGACTGTGACCAGATTCGAACCCCCAATCATCTGTGGCCTATTTAATTTGTGAAATGAAGTTAATGACAGACAGCTGGACGTCAAACAGTCCTCAAACACTACAACAAAGGAAGGAGGTGTTATTAGAGAGGTCTACCATTTAGACAGAAACAGGCATGAATGAAAAGAGATGTGGCCAGAGTGAAAGCAAGGCTGGAATGGTCTGGTTAACTTGAAACCCCTTTCCCTGCCTATTTGATGCCCAGCCTCTCTGAGGGCAGGAGAGGCAGGAGCTACTGCTGGTCCAGGTCGATTCATCCAGCATCTAGGGGAGCGAAGCCCTGGGGCCAGGTTCAGCTGCCTTTAGCTCCTGTCTTCTGTGTTACAGACCCCAGCACTGGGCTCTTACTTGCAGAGTGTAAGTGCAGACACTCATCCAACTGAAAGTGCGTCCCTGCGGGAACTTGTTCCAACAAAGTGCCTATCAGCTCCTTCCCCACAGAAGGAAAATCTGGTTCTATGACCCAACCATTGTCCCCTTCCCAAAGGTGCTTCCAAGAGAGGGTGAGGCAAAGGAAAAGGAAGAGGAAAAAGAGAAAGAGGAGGAGGAGAAAGAGAAGAAGAGGAAGAGGAAAAAGAGAAAGAGGAGGAGGAGAAAGAGAAGAAGAGGAAGAGGAAAAAGAGAAAGAGGAGGAGGAGAAAGAGAAGAAGAGGAAGAGGAGGAGGAGGAGGAGGAGGAGGAGGAGGAGGAGAAGGAAGAAGAAGAAGAAGAAGAAGAAGAAGAAGAAGAAGAAGAAGAAGAAGAAGAAGAAGAAGAAGAAGAAGAAGAAACAGGGGACTAGTGGGGACAAGGAAGTCCAACAGGAAAATAGCCAGAGACAGGAACTGGAGAGATGGGTGAACCCCACAGACTACCCGAAAGATCCGGAGAGATCAGCGGAGACGAGGGTACCGCCTTGGACTCTGCAGCAATTCCTTCCCAAGGCGTTTCTGGGCCGTCTCCGCAGTGCCCGGCCCGGGTTGCCCAGGACAGGAAGGGCTCCAGGGTGCGGTCCCTTTGCCTCCTCCTCCTCCTCCTCCCGTCATTCTCTCCCCACCTCGCCCAAGGGGGCCGGAATGGCGTCGGCGGCGGGGGGCTTTTCGAAGCAGTCGAGTGGAAAATAGACTTTAACCCGCTTTGTAGCTGCGAGGGCCCCCGGAGCGTTGTCCAGGATGCAAGCTCCCCGCGCGGTGACCGGCCACTGTCAAGACCTGGCCTGGAGTCCCGCAGAGTTGCGCCGCGGGCAGCCCCCCACCCCTACCCCGGACTCTGGGGCTCCAGGGCTTCAGCTAGGATCTGCGCACTGCGGGTGTGCTCCGGCCATCCGGACTGACCCTGCCAGCGACGAGAAAGCGGAGCCGTGCTCCGGGACCCAGTCTCCCCATCAGCGCTCAGAGCCCTCTTAGGCCTCGGCGTTGCGTCTTCCTGCGGCCTGGAAAGCCTGAGCGAAGTTTGTGGAGTGCTGCTTCTCACCGCCAACAGCATCTTCACTCGTGGGATAATAATTTGCACAACATGGAAACTGACCGGAGCAGACCCATCCGCAGCTCCGGGGTCGCAGCTGAAAGGTGAAGGTCGGGGAGTCCAGGCTGCTTCCGCCCTTCCTGGAGGTCGTTTGTCCCCTTGGAGTTCAGCTCGAGCTGCTTGGCCCAGTTCGAGTTCAAGGCACAACGCCCCAAACAAACTTAAGCCCCACCATTAGAGAAGGCAAGGAAAGTGGATCGCCCTGCTGCGAGGCCCAGTGTCCAGCGTCTAAGCCACCGGTATCCGCATGGATAAGCGCGGGCTGCTTTGAGCGCCGTGCGCTGCTGCTGGAGGACTGCGGTGCGCAATCCCGCGGCTTTTCTCCGCGCGGGGCCGGCTTGGTTCCTTGAGGAAAGAATGAGCGTCCCCATTCCGGAGCTGTCCTTCATGACAACCTAAAGCCGCGAAACCTCAGGAACAAGCATCCAGCTTCAGATCGCTCTCAGGAAACCGATGCTGGGTGAGCAAGAGGGCGCCTCAGGTCAGAAGAGCAGGGAGCTGGTTCTCGGGAGAACCTATCTGTCCAACCCCAAACGCCCATCCACTGCTGGGATCCAACTTCTCTAAGAATTGAAACAACATCCCTGGACGAAAGGGCGAGTGTTGAATTGGGTCACACTGCGGGGAGAGGGATGCAGGATCTGCCCAGAGTCCAGGCTCTTGAGACACCTCTCCGGCCCGAGCGTGGGTTCCACCAGACAGCAGAAGGGCGGAGTCGCGAGAGGACGCTGGGGGTGCCTCGGCGGTGGTGTCGCTGGGATAGATGGTCCCCCAAAGGTTCCAGTCCAGCTTTTGCCTGCGACTGCAGACTCCCTCCCTACCCCAGTCCCTCGCCCCGCCCCGCCCCGCCCCCCACCTTGGGGCAGGTGAGCGGCGGCCAATGGGCGCACGCGGGGCAGGTGCCCGCTAACTCGCGCCAAGCGGCGCAGCGTCCGAGGCCCGGCGGGGCAGAGCAGCGAAGATCGCGGGCCCGGGTCGGCCCGGGCTACACTTGGAAGCGAGGGAGCCGGGTTCAGCCTTCGGGCCCTGGAAGCAGCTAGCAGTAACGCAGGCAGCGCTCGAGCGCTGGTGCCCGCGCCGGGAGCTCCCCGCTGCGGCCGACGCTCCCGGCAGCGCACGGTGGCCGGACCCCGCGCCGCGGGCTAGCGCGCCCCTCACCGCCCAGCGCCTGGCTCGCCGGCGGGGGCTGAACGCGGGCGGGAGGGCAGAGGGGGTGAGGGGTGCGGGTGTGTGTGCATGTGCCTGGCTGGGTGCACACCCCGCAAGGCGGCAGCGCCGGGACGCGGAGCGCTCCCCAGAGCCCCGCTGTCTTGCACGACTACGGCGGCCAGGAGCATGTTCCAGCCCGCGGCCAAGCGGGGCTTTACCATTGAGTCCTTGGTAGCCAAGGACGGTGGCACCGGCGGGGGCACTGGCGGCGGGGGAACCGGCTCCCATCCCTTGGCGGCGGCAGCCTCAGAAGAACCGCTCCGGCCCACGGCGCTCAACTACCCTCACCCCAGCGCAGCCGAGGCAGCCTTCGTGAGCGGCTTTCCGGCCGCTGCGGCCGCGGGCGCCGGCCGCTCGCTCTACGGAGGGCCGGAGCTCGTCTTCCCCGAGGCCATGAACCACCCCGCGCTGACTGTGCACCCGGCGGCGCACCAGCTGGGCGCCTCCCCGCTGCAGCCCCCGCACTCCTTCTTCGGCGCCCAGCACCGGGACCCTCTCCACTTCTACCCCTGGGTCCTACGGAACCGCTTCTTCGGCCACCGCTTCCAGGGTGAGTGCCCACGTTGTGCCCGCCGGCGCGGGCTGCCGGCATAGCTCCGGCGAGGACCGGGGGAGGCTCGGGGGCGCGCGGAGCTGTTGAGAAGTTGCTGAGAAGGGCGCAGGTCCGCGGAGGTCCGTTCCCAAACATAGTAAAAACCCGTAGGATCCATCTGTGCTCTGCCGTGTGGTTCTCCTGCCCAGAGAGCACGACTGGAACCTCCAGGCTTTCCCAAGAATGAGACTGGTCAGGACGCCAAACCCAGGCGCATTCTCGCAGTCACTCCTGGCCCTTCCTCAGGCCGGCCTGGTCTCTCTCCCGATTGAGTCAGACCCAGCATAAGAGCTCAGGGCCCGCTATCCTCCTACGCCCCGGCTCGAGCCTGGGCCATACTTTGCTCTCGCGTTCGCCACTAACTTTCAGGGATCAGCACTCGCTGGTGCATCAAGACAGGGTAAAGTCCAGTGTGTGCCCGGCCCGGTGGGAAGCAGGGCAGCGGGCAAGGTGGACGGCATGGTTAATGTTCAGTATGGAGTGCTCAGACGTCTTGGGATGTTTCTCTGCAACCTTGGCCAGACTTCTTCAAGTCACCAGCGCCTCTCAGACCTAGGCTGATGAAGGTTTGCAATAAGCAAACTGGCTTCTTCACCGCTGGCCCTGTCGAGGGGCCCGCCAGGCTGCAGCCAGACCGAAGACAGTTCTCCTGGGCAAGGGGCGTGGGCAGAGGGCTTTTAAGGTTGTAGTGTCCTAGCCCCCTGGTTGGCACCTGGCAATGGGTTTGCTAGTTAAGATCTCCTATAGGCCACACACACACACACACACACACACACACACACACACTTGAATTATCTGACTTTTCCAAAAAAGAATTTCATTTGTTCGAGTTCATTTATTCCCTTGAATCTGTTGGTCTCTCTCTCTCTCTGCCTTCATTTGTACTGAAATTACTTTAATTCCCAGTTTTATTTTGTTAATGTAGACTAGACCTTAACATGTGAGGTTCCATTACTTAGAGGGAGCTAGATTATTCTGCTTTTAGTAAAACAATGAAACGAACAACGCTAGAGCTTCTCCTCCTGTAGCTAATCTGATAGTAAGCAAAGTGTATACATCCAAAGTAAATTAGATGTTTGGTACAGTTACTCACAATAATTGCTTCTTGAAGCTTTGTCAACTGCTTGACTGAGAAAAAACTGCTTTCCGAGGTCCAGTTTTCCCAGTGCCACCTGGCCAATAGATGCTTACCTGGCAGATCCCATTGATTAGAGAAAGTGATTACTTGAACAAGAATCTTTGTGGGTAGACTTCTCTCCATTGGATTTTTTAAGATTTTTCCAAATCCAAATCCAAGAAAAGGAAAAAAAAAAAAGATAAAGAATGAAATACAATGTTAGCCACTTTGGAAAAAAGTTACTATGACTTAAAAATAAATATTTACTGATAAAACGAGGTTTCATTCGATTTTACCCGGATCCCAAATGGTATTCTTTAGTCTGGGTCTCAAAATCTGCTGCCCACGGGCAGAATTTGAACCTCGGCAGTTAATGAGCCCGCAGTAGATGGGTAGGTAGGTGGGAAGGGGACAGGGGCTTGATGAGGAGGGGTGGCAGGTCCTAAGCCCTGTCCAGACACTTTGCTTGACCTGAGATGGCTACTCGGGCGCCGCCCTCTGCTTCGGATCCCGGGTCCCGGATCCATTGCCTGCCGCACCACTTTTGCTCCTCCAGCTTCACCCAAGTGGACCAGGGTTGCGGAGGGCAACAGACGCCTTGGGAGAGATTCAGCTCCGTTTCTTGGCATCCCTGGCCAGGTGAGGCTGGATAAATTCTCTGCAATTCCCTCGGAAATTGCCGCTGTTCCCTGAGCCACAAGTCTCAGTGGGTAAATTGTCGAGTTGCACAAACGGTCGGATTTTTCTCTCAAGAACCGTGTCTGGACGCGGAGATGGAGCCAACTGTGGCCGCATTTTCCTACTGAGAAATTCGGTGGTATTGAAGGACTTTTCAAACCCTAACGTACTGTGGCCAGTCATCTCGGCAGACCGATGCGCGCCTCGCGGCTTTGCATTCTCCAGTCCTGGCAGCGCTTCTGGGCTGAGAGCGGAGCCGTCCCAGGGCCTCCGGCGCCGCGTTTTCTAGAGAACCCCGTCTCTGCGATGCTCTTTTCAGCCCGTTTTAAAGCAAGAAACCAAACCCTACCCGAACGAAAAGAAAATGTGTCTGCGCTCTGGCTCTGTGCGTTGCGCTCTCAAGCTGCGCGGTCCTGGCGCTCCGGGAAGCCGCATCTCCGCTGAGCGAGGCTGTGGAAGAGGAAAAGCGAGCGCTGAAAGATCAAGACCTCCGAGACCCGGGCAGCTCGCAAAGCCTGCAGCAGAGGAACCTGCGAAGAGCCAGATTGGTTACATTTTGGTGCTATTTCCTGGAGATCAAGAACTTTCAAGGCAAGAAAGCGGCACCGGGAGGGGTCAGTGAGAGAACCAACCCTGCCGACTGGCGCTGGTAATGGGCCGAAGCTTCAAAGGGTGCTTTTGTTCCGGTAGGAGGTGGGAAGGCAGGAGGTAATCTCTGTTGCTTGGCCTGCCTCGCTCAATCATAGCCCCAGGCCCCTCCGCCCTGTAATCCAGCCTGGAGTCTCTGGCCAGCGAAGCCTCTCCAGAGAACTGCTGTTCAGCCCAGGCGCTTTGGACCCCTAGCTCTGGCTTCCTGCTTTCTCATTCCTGGAAGTATCTATTACTAGTTCCCAGC